AGGAGCTCTACTGTCTCTGCCGGCAGCCCTACGACAATTCACAGTCAGTGCTTACGCTTATTATATGGGATTGTTGACCACTATCGGTCATAAATGTTGTTCGAAATTAGCCTAAATAGAACTTAATTCACAATTGTGCTACAGGTTTTAGCCATGAGCTTTATTTTAATTGGAATTAATTGAAGTCTTTCCAAATCTTTCAGTTAACGATTAATTTTTATTTGTTTCAGATTCTACATATGTTGCGATAGATGCCAGGACTGGTTCCATGGGCGCTGCGTCGGCATCCTGCAGTCGGAGGCGGACAACATCGACGAGTACGTGTGCCCCAACTGCCAGAAGAACAACTCTGTCAACTACGCAAACATGAAGGAACTCACCGCAAAAGACTTTGAAAACTTAAAGAGGCTCGTTAAACAAATACAATTGCATAAAAATGCGTGGCCATTCATGGAGCCTGTGGATCCAAGGGAGGCTCCTACGTATTACAAAGTAATAAAGGAACCCATGGGTGAGTACTTTATACTACAAGATTACGGCTAATATACCTCTCTTTTATACTCGCAACAAATCTCCAAGTAATTAATTTTCATTCCAGTCCATGTTTATAGTTATCTTGCAATAGGTATATCACAATGTTTCATTTACTCAATCTTCACTTCATTGTTACAAACGTAAATGTGTAACATTTTAATGTTAGACTCATTTTAGTTCAAGTTTTTTTTGTATTTGCAGACTTGCAGACGGTGGAAAGAAAAGTGAATGAACAAACTTACAGTACATTAAGTGAATTTATCGGTGATATGACTAAAATATTCGACAACTGTCGATACTTCAATCCGAAAGACTCTGAGTTTTATCGTTGTGCGGAAGGCCTGGAAGCGTACTTTGCACAAAAAATCAAATATTTCCGCGAGAAACTATTCGAGACGACGCAATGATAGTGGCAGTGTACAGTGTAGAAGTTTGGCTGCGGCCCGACGGTAAGCGACTATTGTAATGCAAATGAACTCATGATCTGCGCCGGTTGTAAATTTAAAAATTGTGATGACAAAGAATTATATGATGGTAATATTGCGTACGTCAGACTCATTTTAAGTATTTATTGTATTTATTATGGAATGCTTCACAATTATATCCAACAAGAAAGCTGACGCTCGATATGAATTAAGCTCTTCGCAGAAGAATGATTATGTATACAGTTTTGTGAAAATAATTAAGTTAGCTGATATAACTTAGCATGTTTAGTTTTGTATTAGTTACATAGACTAAGTAAACATTATTATATTTAAGAAATAAAGTTTTAATAATAACATCTTTACAATGCCTTTACATTCCGTTTTGGCCCTACGTGAAGACATTGATTATATTAACCTTGTATGTACAAATATCCTTCCATTTCCCATGTTCCTCTTTTTTGTGTCAGAAAAAAACCTTGACGCTGTCATTATTCAGTGAATCACTCTTGAGACACTACTAAAGAAACATTCTGAATTAGTGCCTGAGTTATTTGGAGTTGGTCTGCTAACGACCCCTGTGATATTGCATCGAATCTACAACGCCTATCAGTAACCCTAAAACTAGATTCTAGCTTTTCGTTAGAAAATGTAGTAACGATGACTCGTTACAACATTTAAGGACAATAGATCATTCAATCGATCATTAAATAGATGATTGAAAAGGTAAAAGTAGGATATTAAAACAGTTTCCGTGTTATAGCATAATTTATTCAAGTCTTTGTATAAAGAAAAAAAAAGTAAATTATGTGTAACAAAAACATTACACAGGTAATACAATTTAAGTAGCTAAGTGGTAATGGCACCGGATTTTATTTATTGATTAAACATAAACCAAGTCTCACTTGAATAACAATCATTGGGAAATAAAAGTTGTAAGGTAGTGGCTAAATGCAGATTAAACACAATGAAATTACCGGGAATTTTAATGATGTTAAAATAAAAAGAAACATCACAGTTGGTAAACTTGTGCCAAATTTATGCATTAATTTGAAATACTTGGTTTACAGTCAATGGGATTAGTTATAAAATACATTTTTATTTACATCAAAGTAAGTTTACATTATGATTGTTATTATTAATACTCTATAATCTATCAGTCAATTGTGTTCTTGCACAACTTTATTATAAAAATATTACAAAAATTAAGCTATTAATTTTTTTTATAACACCAAAGTATTATAAATTATTTCGATTTACGTTATCGATTTTAAATGGATAATTATTTTATATGTGTATTTACAAATTGCTTAAAATAAAAGAAAACAAAAGTGTACAAAGTCTTATATCGATAAAAATTAATAAAAGAACATCGAAAAGGACAGGTTTAAAGCATAACAAGTAAAGGAATGTTTATTGTTTACTTCATGTAAAAATTACACGAAATTTAATGAATAAATTGTTTGCATCTAAGACAATTATAATCAGCACCTAATTATCAACAAGCTTCAAAACTTTCATAAAAGTAACTTATTAAAAGCTGCATTAAATTCGCATAGTTCGGAATGTCATAGTGGATTGATTATTTTTTTTAAATTACATGCACTCCAAATTTATTACAATAGATATGTCGATTAAATAAAAATAAAAAAAAACACTAGATGCCATACTTGCATTATGTTTTTTAAAAGTAGATTTTATGAGTAAATTCATTATTAATTGATAGAAGACGCGTACTTCAGTTTGGTGCGTTAAGAATTAGTTTAGTTTAAAATACTACAACTTATTTCTCCACATAATGTAACGAGATCATAAACGTAACATCTAATATAAACATAGTTTATTACGAAAGTGTCTATTTCTTACAGTTTGTTCCATAATTGTCCATAACACTTCTTGTAAGACAAATCTATGCATTTTAGTTACCTTAAAGTACAATTATGTATATATTTAACTATAACATAAAAAAGTTGAATAACATTATCTAAACATTTATGTACAAATAGCACTTAATAGTTGCCGTATTACATTTTAAATATAATTTGATAAAAATTGTATTAGTGTCGATAATTCATAAGTATCTACGTGCAATAAATACTGTTAACATTTCAAATAGCTTACAGTAAACATTGGTCGAAATAGGATAAAACTTATCATGTGTTACTTACAACATATTACCTACTCATATTTGAAGTACTTATATCCTAAAATACTTTTACTTTAGAGCGATTTCGCATTTGATTTATTATCTGATTACGTGGTAATTTTTTGAAAATTATGTTGTATTTAACCGTTTTGATTATTGCATTATACTATAGGAGCCTTTCAATATTTTGGGCAGCTGATCTTGAGCTGGCCGCAGTGTTCTGCACACTCATGCTCGTGCCAGAGCCGCAAAGAAACTTAAAAAACCAATACAATGCTATTGAAGATCAAAATAGATACATTTTCTGTTAGGTTACCCGATAGCGCACGTATAGTGTTAGACGTGGAGGGTATGTGTGGAGAGTGCGGGGGTCGCGTGTCATACGAAGGAGGAGAAGCCGGGCAGCGGGGCCCGCGAGCGCGCCATGTTGTTCATGACGATCTGTCCGCCGTTGAGGCTGAGCACGGCGCTGCCCTCGGGCTCCGAGTCCGTGTAGCTGGAGTAATTGCGCACGGGCCGCTGCCGCTTCCACGACTGCCGCAGCGTGTCGTTCACGTTCGCGTAATGGTTCACGAACGAGTGCGGCTCCGAGCGCACGCTCTCGTTCTCGCTCTCAGAGTTCTGTTAACATCATATCTTTATTAAAATTTAATCATAGCGTGTTTTTTTGGTTCCATGCATGTTGGACTTTACCGCAAACTACGAATGATTTTGAAAATCCTATTTGTGCTTTTTACATTTACAAGTTTATTTACATACAAAACCATTAGTTATTTACACCTTTGCTTAAATTATCACTCCGACGGTTATGACTTTTCGATAAAACTAATGATTTAATCTCGTGTGTCTAAGGAAGAAGTAAGGTGAATTTTGTACAATTTTTAAATTAATGCTAAACTTTTTACTTCTAAATCAAACGGACGAAATAGCCTTTAGTCAGTAAAGATGATTCTATAGAAC